ATATTTACTATCTGGCATTTTACAGAAAAGCTTTCGTTCCCCCCTTAGATAATCTGAACTGTTGTCTGAGCTAGAAGAAATATTTAGTGCACATGATGGGAAATTTTTAATTATTAAAATTTCAGTGATGTTTAGATTATTACAAAGTTAACATTTTGGATGACTTACAATAAAAAATTCTAACTCTTTGCTGTATCTTTGTATAGTTTATAGGATAGAAACTTTAAAAGTAGCACCATAGGTTTAACATTTTATTTTATTGGTGTTAACTTTAATGAACATAAAGCTTTGTGAGATGTATAGATGCTATTTAATAATAATAAGAGGAATAATAATAACTCTTATTCTTCTAAGAATATATATAAATCTCAAATACTAAGGGAGATTTAATAGCAACATCAAAGTCACAAGTTGTAAATTGATTTTTCAGTTTCAATGACAAATTTGGTTGGGATTTTCATGTATCTGCAAAGTGCTTATTGTGTAATATTTGTCTAAATGAAGAATTATGAAGAAAGATTCAAATTGTTCTATATAAGATTGTTCTATATAAGAAAGATTCAAATTCATTTTAACTTTTCCATTTTTGATATAGATTTCTGAATCTTAAAGGTTTTGATAAAAATCAGCTGTATATCTTAACTTGTTTTTTTCCTTTTCATATCTATGTGAAAATCTGCAAGAGACTGTAAAAAAGAGTCAAATTACATGAAAAAACTGCTCTTTTTCAAGACCTGTGGCAGTTTTGTCATGGCTATGGAAATGACATGCACTATAGCTAACCAATCTTTCTTTTCTTTTAGTAAACACTGTCATTCAAACCTTTTAATTACTTATATTAAAACTGCAGAGGACCGTTGCATGCTAACAACCACAATAGAAGCATGATCTGGGAGAATTAATGAGCTAAGAAAATATCGATTTTGTCAAAATTTATAGAACAATAAATGAAGAGAGAGGTCAAATATGCAGGCATGATATACCATCTAATAAGCAGGCTGGAAATCAAATGTGTGCCCAAAATTTGGTACAGTAAAAGTTGCCTATCAACCTTTTAAATTTGATATTCACATATGTAATGTGTAACATCAAAAATATGATGTATTATGCCTAAGTGGAAAATCTTTATTTCTAACTGAAAATTTGATTCTCCACTAAGGGGAGTGGAAAAGCTTGTCACTTTGTCCCTGATTTGCCCTAATTAGGCATTCAGCATCTAGTCATCCAAACTGTCTGGGTCTAAGTTTCCCAATTTGGGGAAAAAAGCATCTCTGTCAAATTTAAAGTTTCCTCTGGGTCATGAACAATACAGAATATATGAGAACCCTTTAAATAATAAACTGATATATAAATCTTAGACCTTGTTTTTATTAAATCCATGGCTATACTTCCTGTGTTTCTTAACTTTTCCAAATATTGCTTTTTAATGGAGACATTTCACATGTATGTATACCTTTGTATTCAAGATAATGAATGGTAATGCTATGCCATTCTTTTGAAATGTTTGCAGCTTCAATTAAGAAAATGTCTTAAATCTCAATATGCTTGGATATGAAAAGAAGTGCAAAAAATCACAATCTATTGATGCTGTGAATCTTATAGAAAATATTAACATCATATAACATACATTTGTTCATACATGATAAATTTACCCTCTCTGCAAATCTAACCTTAGATAAAACGGTGTTATTGTAAACGTCTCCAATTCTCTATGCCACCATTTAATCTCAAATGCGACATATCCACATCGCCACTAATTATCTTTTCCTTAAAAATATCTTTGTATTAGTCAATATTTATTTGATTTGTTCAAAAGCAAACACATGAGGAAACAGGTCAACTAATCAAAAAGCACTTCAGAAAGCTCTGCATTTTAGATTCTTAAATGATGTCATCACACATGTGCCTACTTTGTCTTTCTCTGAAGTCCATTCCTTTGTAATAGCTCCTCAAGTCTTTTTGTATGAGACATATGGAAAGAAGGAATAAAAAATGAGTCCTAGAGAAGTTACCCATACAGGGCAAAATCCCAGCAAGAGTAGAACTGGGTGCTGGGCCCTAGGTCCACGTTCCGTCTTTATGTCTGACTTCACCTGTTCCCCACTCCACCCTTTCTGTCTTCCTACGCAGCTGAGCTCTGTCTGTAGAGTCTGCCTGATTGCATTGCCTTCACAGAGCTCCAAATATAAGTGAAATTACTGGTTACATCATGCATTTCCGTTGTTCCTTTTAATGCTGCCTTTTGCAATATCTTTTCATATTTTATTTTAGGCCTCATAAGATTGCAAATGTCTCATAAACAGTGTTCCAGGAGAGTTCTTTGTTTTTGTTTTAATACTCATATAAAACCTAGCAACATGCAAAGCATAAAATTCTCAAGTTAAAATTGTTCGGTGGCATTTCTTGAATATTATTTAAGGTCATAAATTTTAGATTAACCTATGTGTAAGTATGGATTTCATTTAGGTGAATTTGGGCAGGGATTCTCATTGTTCTTGCAGTTGAAGTAAAAAACAAAAACAAAAAAAACCCAACCCTATAGTGATGCTAAAATGCAGCCTTGGATTGATAGAATTCTTATTTAGATTTGTGGATCTTTGTAAATCTAAAAGCTAGCTGGATAAGTACCTAAAAATAAAGAAAAAAACCTCTCTAAATGTTTTTCTTGATGAAATTGTGTCACCAAGATGCAAACAGGATGCTCTAGTAAATGTTAAAATTCAAGACCTACTGCTCAAATAGCTTTGTCTTATGAAGGATTGAAGAAAGGTGTGGCTATTTTTAAAAAGATAGTAGTAGCATGCAGCTCATTGAAGAAAACAAAAAAAGAGCACAACAGGAATCATCACTGAAGAGCATTTTAATTTTCAAAACATATAATTGTACATGTTATAGAGTAAATATTGCCCATTATTCAGGTTTCTGAGACCAACAAAATGTCATATAAAATCATTGAAATAAAAAGGATTTCAACACACTTCTTATAATTACTAGGCCTTATGTTACACATTTTCTATAACCAAGGCTAGGAGTTTGACCAGGGAATGCAGGTTGGGTAACAAACATTCTTCTACAAATTTGCTGTAGTGATGCTTGTGTGAACTTAAACCAGTGCCTTCCATTGCAATGCTACTGTTTCCTTTTTATTGAAAACATTTATATAAAGGGCTGATAACTAGAATCTATATAGAACTCAGGAGAATCAGCAAGAACAGAAACTGTTCAGAAGAATATAGGCTAATGGCCAACAAACATATGAAAAAATGCTCAGCATCTCTAATCATCAGGGAAATACAAATCAAAACCATAATGAGATATCATTTAACTCCAGTGAGAATTGCTTTTATCAGAAAGTCCCAAAACAACAAATGCTGGTGTGGATGCAGAGAGGTAGGAACACTCATACACTGCTGGTGAGATTGCAAGCTAGTACAACCTCAGTGGAAGTAGTATGGAGACACCTCAAAGAACTAAGGAAAACAAGCACCATATGGTCTCACCATTAAATTGCTACTAATTGATCAATACTAATGTGCACATATGGGAAGTAACATTCATCAGGTGTCAGGTAGGTGGGAGTGGAGAGAAGGGGAAGGGTAAATCCATACCTAATGGATATAGTGCACACTGTCTGGGGGATGGGCATGCTTGTCAGGCAGTGCAAAGGCAATTTATGTAACAAAAGCATTTGTATCTCTATAACACTCTGAAATAAACAAGAAAAGAAATTATATAACCTGTGGGGGGAAAAAAGCATCTTTTTCTTTGATTCCTATTAATATTACACCTTTTAAAATTATTATTAAAAATACTTTTTTAAAAAGACAAACCTTCTGGTTTTATATAGAAGTAAATTTAATTTCTCAGGGCAAGAATACAGCAGACTAGCTATGTAAATAGTGCCTATGTTATGTCTTTTATGATTTATAAAATAGTTTTCTTCTAAATTTTTCTGTGCTTATGAGATAATTTAAACAAATATAAAAAAATCTCATGCAAAATATAATGTTAAAAATTCAAGTTATCTAATATAGGGATAGCTAGTATATATATACAGAGTTAAAATAGCTTATGTTTAAAATAGCACAAGCTCTCATTAATTTGATTTATATCTCTTTCTTTAAATCTCCCTTGGATTATAACTTTATACTTGAATTTTCCCTAATATTATTAATATATGGTAATAATTTTGAGGGTGGAGTCTGTGACTCCACTTCCCATATTGTCTTGCTCTATACTTATAGTGTAATAGACAGTTTATAAATGCTTGTTGAATCAATGTTATGTATGTCCAAAGAAAATCCATTTGTTCTCCTCTGGAAAAAATAGACAATGTGAGCTTTCAGTATCAGATAAGATTCATGGATAATTACTCTTTTGACACAATCTTCTATAACGAGAAAAATGGAATTAACATGACTCTGACCCACTGAACAAACTCACTAAATGTGTCTGTTCCAATAAGAGGTAGAAAACGCTGACCTCTTCACAAAGTGTTCAATTGTTCTCCTTATCTAACTGATATTAAAATATTATCTTAGATTTCTAATGGTTGTATGTGAAGCTAATATGGGAATGATTTTTACAAAGCAGTATGGTTGCATTCTGTAAAATAGTGTTTATTGTGTAACTTAAATGCAAAATACCTAGGACTCATAATTTAAATATTTATGGGATGCTACAGTGGGTGCCATGCAGTGTTTCCCTCTTTTAATGTATATTTATACAAACGCAAGAGCCCATAGAAACCCTAGTCTGTTTCCCACTTAAAACTGGACTTATTTTTTTATCTTCTTTATTTTTTTTTAAAGAAAGCCACATTCATGGTCTTATTTTTAAATAAAGGGAGTGAACAATGTTTTTTCAGATTATTTATGGTATAAGAATATAACAACCCTTCTATTGGGTAAGGAGATTTGTGTTTATTCTAGCATGTAGGGAACATGGTTGTTTCAAAAGTATTTTTCCACCAATTTTTAAAATTATGTTTCTTTTTCTAGGCATTTCCTGGAAACATCAACTCTGACAGTGTGGTCCGGCATGACTTACAGCATCCAATCATCGCTCGCTATGTGCGCATAGTGCCTCTGGACTGGAATGGAGAGGGCCGCATTGGGCTCAGAATCGAAGTCTATGGCTGTTCTTATTGTGAGTATCCTATTGTTCAAATTTATGGCAAGTTTTGTCATTTGCATTTAAACAGTAATATGTTTCTTAAAATTATTTAACATTACTTGCTTTCTCTGACAATATACTACCTTCTATCATATATTTTATATGCACATATAAAATAAAAGGTTGCTTTCCTATTTGTATTTTATAAATGTATATTGCACACAAACATATGTAAGGATATTCTAATGATACCTTAAGTAAAAGATTTGGAAAACAAATCTTTCCAAATTAAATTGCTTGAAGTCTTATGAAATATTTAAAAGTGAGGAACCCCTACTATAATCCATCTTTTTGATTCTTTATGATGGATTTTGGATACATTCTGAAGAACTTCCTTCCAGTTCACTAAGTCTCTCTTCAGCTGTGCCTGTTCTTAAATTAAAGCCAACCACTGAATTTTAAAGTCAATTTCATTATATCTTTCTATAAATTTTATCTGTTTCTTTTTCAAATCTGCATGGTCACCTAAGGAGTTTATTTTCCCTTAATCATATTTTAAATCTCCCTTTGAGAGACACATTCAAACTATAGTACACACCAAATGTCCAGAGTGTATTTGCATTTTACTATTTTTGAAAAATATAAATTATATTTATTTCTTTTCCAAAAAAAAAATGTATCTATAATAAGAAAAATATGTGTTAAGCATATTTGTCATGGACAACTTTCCAAGAGTTACTTTGATTTAAATTTTCTATACTACAATTCAGACTATAGTGGACCCTTGGAGGAAGACCATCTATTTGTTCTTTAACTTAGCGAACTGTCGTCTAAGTGGCTTGTTTAATTTTGCAGTGAGAAAGGAAATCACTTGTCTTTGAGTGGGGAAATGTAGATTCCATACACCCTTCTATTTTGCCCTCCTAGGGAATAGCAGTACTCTGCGTTTTCTCCTCCTCAGCAAGGAGAAATGTGGCTTTGATCACGCCTACTCTTTCTGGAACCACCTTAGAGGGTTATCTGGGATGTATCTTAAACCTGCAGGTTAGGGAGTGAGGCTTCTTTTATTTCAAAGTTTGCCAGAAGATCTAGAGAGGGAAAAAACTGTAATGTGAGCACTGTTTCTGTTTGAATGTGTGCCTATTGCAACTCCCCTTGTGTTCGTTATATTTCCTCTATGCAGTCTTTCCATGATCATTTTGTCATCTGAGAAATTAGGCACTTCTCAAGGTTGCAATACGACATTCATTCTACTCCGGGCGGAGTTTAGTTCCAGGCCACTGCTTTGAAGTCTTTAGGGTTTCTGTTGTTTCGATTTCCTGACTTGCCTTGAATATAATATGAATTCCAATTTCAATAAATCTAAACCCATTTTAAATTATTCTGCTCCCTCTACATTTGGTTTTCCCTCAAGTTTAGTTGAAACAAGTGCATGCTGTTATTTTTGAAACTTAGCAGTATGTCTTCTCGTCTTCTGACTCAGTAAGCTGTCTCCCCCAGCAGCGACACTAATCTTCTTACTCTATACCGGAGAGACTTGATGGAGCAAAAGGGAGAAGTCTCAGTTAATGCTTTCTAAAAATCACGTAGGCTTCATTACTCAAGCATTCATTAACAAAAGCCAAACACAGTTTATTGACTGAAGTAGTAAGCAATATTGATGGCAAAAATACTAAATTAGCTTTTAAACAGTCTTCCTAAGAGTAAGGTCGGCACCTTGGGAAAACAGGATACACACACCTAGAGTAATTTGTATATATGCTTTTGATCTGGATGAATAATTAATAAAACCTGAATATATCACCCCATGAAAATCATGATGGAAAATTGGTGCAGGTTGAGAAATAAAATGAGGAGGAGCCAAATAGAAATAGAAGCAAGATAGAATTTGGTTCTTTTCATGCTGTGTCAGTGGCACATCTGCATCCTCTAGTGACAGTGTCCTCTTGTAGGGACCACAGACTGGCTCCCACAGTGCTTGTTCTGCTTAGGCAAGAGGTACCGCCAGGTACATATGTATGAGTTTCCTGGGGCCTCCTGTAATACGTTGCCACAAATTGTGCGGCTTTGGACAGCGGGATTTATCCTATCATAATTCTGGAAGACAGAAGTTTAAAATCAAGGTATAAGCAGGGTTAGTTCCTTCTGGAGTCTCAGAGAGAGAGATCATTTCATGTCTCTCCCCAGCTCTTGGTGGGGTCAGCGTTCCTTGGTGTTCCTTGGCTTGTTGCTGTATCATTTCAGTCTCCATCTCTGGCCTTCTCCCCACTGTGTGTGTCTTTGTCTCTGTACTGTCCCACGGCCTTCCTATAAGGACACCAGTCATTGGATTTAGGACCCACCCTAACCCAGCATAACCTCAACTTAGCTAATCATGTCCACAAAGACCCAATTTATAAAGGAGGCCACATTTTGAGGTTCGGGGTAAGCATGAATTTTTTGGAAACACTATTCAAGACAGTACAATGTACGTTCATTAAAATTGGTAAGAATTTTTGTTTAGATCAGTGTAGGTATGCAGAAAAATAAAAATCAGTTCTGAAAGTCAACTCATGTTTTCCTATTTAAATAAGATGTTTAATTTTGCACCACATAGAAGAGCTCAAGAGTTTTATTTTGTGTTTATGATTTCTCCAGCTTATCTGGTGAACATTTACTGTATTCAGGCTTTTAGAAACAAGTTAAAGCATAGGTCTTGCCATCAAAGAGTCTGATATTTGGCAGAAGAGATGGGTAAGTAGTACTTTTAATACTCTATGATAAATGCTGTGACAGAGGAGACCTCACCTATGGTGATAATGCGATAAGTTGTCGCCTACCTTAAAAAGCAACAGAAATTCGAGTGATAAAACATTCCAGAAAAGAAATAGCATTTTCAAAGACAGAGACACAAAGGTGAAAGTATAATTTATTTCATATTTGCAGTTAGTTATTATTAGCAACATAAGTCTCATTTTAATACACTTATATATTTAAATGGGAGTTAGCATGTTGTTTGGAGGATCGATATATTTGTGACAGAAATTCATCGATCCTATTAACATTAATTGAATACTACCATTTGTAAAGCATTTTGCTAATTTTCAGTCTAAAATGGAAATCTGACCATATCACACCTGTGCTTAAAACACTTTAAAGATGATACATTGCCTATAAAGTCCAAGCTGTTCGTTTAAAATACATTTTCCCACCACCCATTTTTAACAGGAAGACCTCTTGATAAATGTGATTCCAGAATGAATCACATCTTTCTTTTCTTTACTCCCATTACATTGTGTGAATATTTCCAATGGAATATTTTTTAAAATATTCCAAAATAAAGTAGACTGTAAGATATTAGCAAGGGGAGGAGGCATAAACTATTACCTTATTGACCATTGGCACTTCGTTAAATAGCAGATTCTGAATATACAATAAATGTTTGCCAAAGTGAGCTGTTATCAGATATAAATGATGCAAACATAATTTATTCCCTCAGTAAAAACTGATTACTATTTGAGGCTGTATGGATTCTGTTATTGGTTGAACAGGACATGATTCTGTGGCATCATATTGAGCAGTGCTCTGGGGGTCTAAAAATATGTTGAAATAATTGCCAAATATGATAATAGATACCCCAACAGGCCGCATAAAGCAAGTAACTATGTTTCTTTTTCTAACTTAAATATTTCTAGTCTTTGTATTATTTCTAGTTAAGATTATTTTAAACCATAATTTCATGAGGCTGCTTCATGGGTTACAAATATAAATTGCTTATCATCAGAGGAAAAATATACCACTCATTAATTATTTGGAGTTATATACCCAGATTAATGTGAAAATAAAAGTAAATCAATATAAAATAGATTCAATAGATATCAAGTTACACAATATAAAGCAGTAATTAAAATTGAATTGTTATGCTGGTATATTATGTGTGTAGGACACGCTGTTTTCTTAAGTTTTCACATAAATAGATATAAATAGATTTGGTATATTGTTAACAGATATGTTCTCACCATTAGGAGAAACTGAACTTAGATTCAAGTATATGTGATATTCCTTAAGTCTTTAAAAAATTACTTAGCACTGCAATTAAAATACTTTATAATAAAAAGATGATTTCTATACATCTAACAGTGCCTCACCTTGGAGGTGATAATACAGCAACTGTTGTATCACCTTTGCAGCAGTTTGATATTTTTGAGATGGTGAAAAAATTATACTGGATCATGTGTCATGATTTTTACTTAATTTAATAATGTCAACTTAAAAGTATAAACATTAAAAGATAATAAGGTAATATATTATTGAAAAATTTTGATACTCAATGGGTCTCATTTCTAAATATTTGAAGGTAACATTTCAATTAAAAATACTTAAAGCATGAAAAAACGAATATTCTAATTTTTCATGTCTATGAAGATACTTGTTATCAGCATTTAATTATTTCTTTTCCAGCTTAATTTGTTTACCTGGAAGATAGTTACTGTTAAATCTGTTCAATGAGAAAACAAGGCAGTTGTAACTTTCTGCTTAGGGGCAAGACTGTTACAAATGGCAGCTACTTCATAGTTTGAAGAATTATTTTACAAGATACTGATTTAGAGTTGGATTCACATCATACTGCTGCAAAATTTAAATTTACTTTCAAAAACTTTCAAAGTTCTGTTGAAATATAAAATCAGCAGTGTTGATTTAAAAGCAAATTGAAATTACTGGTAGGAAATAACATGCAATTAAACCTATGTTTGCAGTTCTGAATTAAGAATAACCATATACTTTGTGGAATAAAATAATATATAATTTTTATTGTACACAGTAGTCTAAAGTTTCTTTTATAAAATAATTTTCCAAGAAGAGTAAATATATTAAAAGCAAAGTTTACACACGCATTATGGTAAGTGGTTGAAGAGAAGAATAAAATAATGAAAGAGAACTATGCTTCAGCATGCTTTATAAAAAAGATATTTTGATTAACACAAAGAGGAGCCATTTGTGTACTCTATAAGAACTTCAAAGCTAAAAATTTCCCAAGAGATCTTCCTGCCCAA